GTGCACCTGAGAACTTTCACCTTCTTTCCTCCCCTGTTCCAACAGGTGTCATCTCTGGAAGATCGAAGACCGTGCCTTCATGGGACTCAACAGCCTTTCGGTCTTGATCCTGACCGGCAATCCCCTCCAGATCCTGGGACCAAGGGCTTTCCACAGTTTACCTTCTTTGCAAAGATTTGTTGCTGTCGAAACCAACTTGTTCTCCTTGGCCATGTTGCCCATCGGGCACCTGACTTCTCTCGAAGAGTTGAATTTGAGCCACAACCACATCGGTTCCTTGAAGCTCCCCGGTTATTTCTCCAACCTCGTCTCCCTCCGGCACCTGAGCTTCCAACTGAACGAGATCTCCTCCATCTCGGTCGGAGATCTGGACCCTTTAGCAAGCCGTGACGTGATGTTGGTGCTGTCGAGGAACGATCTAAAGCATATTGAGCGGGGCGCCCTGGCGGGAATCCGCCTTCGGCAACTGGTTTTGAGAGGCTGCTTTGAGGATAGAGCCGTGATGCAAAGCAGCCTCCAGAACATGTCCGGTTTGCACATCGACAGCTTATTGTTAGGAGAATACAGAGATATCGACAAAGTGGACTTCATGGACAGAACTCTTTTAGATGTCCTGTGTGACTTACATTTACAGGAGCTCACTGTTATTGAAATGTACGCTCTAGGCTCTGGAAGCACCTGCTCGCCTTGCCTCAACAATATTTCCATGGTGCGGGTGGTCCATACTAATGTCCGCGAACCTTTTGAGTTTCCAAGCAACTCCAATATTTCCCAACTTGAGTTCAAGAACTGCGCACTGGATGCAGTGCCTGCTACAATCCTTTCTGCCTTATCGAAGCTGAGAGTGCTTCGCATCACTCACACAAAATATCTCAGGGACTTTGAGACGTATTTTAAGGGCCTCCAACATTTGGAGACCTTGGACCTCAGCGTTAACAGGCTGGTCACTCACCTGTCCTGGGTCGGACTCCTGGAAGGGGCCCCCAACCTGAAGCACCTCAACCTCAGCTTCAACACGGAGATCAGGTTAAATATTGAATGCAGCGGCCCAGGCAAGCTGGAATATTTGGATTTGCAGCACACCGCCCTTGCCACGCCTGGGACCGTTCCTTCGTTTTTCTGTCTCCACCGTCTGATTTATCTTGATATTTCTTACACGGACACCGCGGTTATAGCGCAGGGTTCGTTCCACGGCTTGCACAGCCTGCAGGTGCTCAAAATGGCAGGCAACAGCTTTGCCAACAATCAGTTGGTTGACAATTTCCGGAATCTCACCAAGCTGCACTTTTTAGACATTTCCAATTGCCAACTCAGCCATATCTCTCTCAGTAGTTTAACCTCCCTCCGTGAACTCCGGCTGTTGAACGTCAGCCATAATAAACTGCTGGGTCTCCACCCAGAGACCTACCTGCACATCCCTCTTCTCACCACCCTGGATTTTCACAACAACCAGTTGTCTGCTTTGACGGAGGAGGATCTGAAGAACTTACCTGCCGGCCTGAAATATCTGGACCTCTCTGAGAATCTTTTTGATTGCTCTTGCAATCACGCGGGTTTCTTGCGGTGGGCAAAAAACTCCTCCGCCCTCCTTCAGAATGTCCAACACATGCTCTGCTATAGCCCCCCGGAGTTAAAAAATGTGCGAGTGATGGATTTCGTCTTGGCGTCCTGCGGGATCAGCATAACCACGGTGGCTGTTTCCGTGACCGTCGTCCTGGTCCTGATCGTCATCGCGATTCTGTGTTATAAATACTATTTCTACCTCTACTACGGCATGGTGCTCTTCCTCAGGAACAGGTCCTCGGATGAGAAGGAGACCATCTACGATGCATTTGTGATCTTCTCCAGTAAGGACCAGGAATGGGTGAAACAAGAACTGCAGCAACCTCTGGAAGAGGAATTGCCCTACTTCCGCCTGTGCCTTTTCTACCGGGATTTCATCCCTGGCGTTTCCATCATCACCAACATCATCAAAGAAGGCTTCCAGAGCAGCCGAAAAGTCATTGCCGTGGTCTCCGATGACTTCCTAGAAAGCCGTTGGTGTAACTTCGAACTGGAGGTGGCCCAGTCTTGGCAACTTGTGGAAAGCAAAGCCAGCATCATCTTCGTAGTCTTAGAAGGGGTGGACAAAGCAGCGCTAAACCGCAAACTGGGCCTGTTCCGTTATCTACGGAGGAACACCTTCTTGAACTGGAAGGACCGGGACCTTAGCCGCCATGTCTTCTTAAGGCAGTTGAGGTCGGCCTTGCTTGAAGGCAAAACATGGACTGAAGATGAACTCAAGCTAATGTTGAAAAGTGGGTGATGTCTATTTTTGCTGCCCAACTGAGCCGGTCAGTCTAATTTCAGGAAGCCGTCAAGAATAGGCGGTCTCACCTTTAGAATTTCCATTTGGGACCTAATATCCCATGCATGGAGATTCTCAGCCATCCAGGTCGTGGTTGTCCCAATGGCAGAGGTAAGCTGCAGCCGGTTTGCACTTGTTCAGGAAAACTGGTAGTTAAGACTATGCGCAGTTCAGTGAACTGGCAAATCCCACTATTGGCTGGCCCCGCCCCACTCATTTTTCGGCCTGTTTACTGGGCCATTTTCAGGCTGTTTTTCGGGCTGTTTTTGGCCCCCCAAACAGCTTGAAAACTGCCCAAAAATTGCCTGAAAAACACCCCCAAAATAGGCCAAAAATGGGACAGGGCGGGGCTAGCCAGTGGTGGGATTAGCCCCAACTGGCTGAATCCTATCTCTGCCTTTAAGGCAAGTGGCTGGGAGGCGGAGCTGGGTGTGATGAGTGACATCACCTACCCAGTCACATGACCAACTG